TCTTCATATTGCTGAGCGTGTTCTAACCTTGTTGTCTGTGCATCTCTTCCTCCAATCGGTATAGGTGGAGTTTGTGCTTCAGGGGGTCTCTCTTTCTCCAGTTGGTATAGTTGGGGGCTTTGGCTCCGTGACTGCTCTTTCAGGTGCTAGCAGAGCAGAGTCTCAGGTGATAGCTCCTCCTGGTGGAAGTGGTCCCAAGGCTCCTTGAGGTACAGGTGGGGCTGCGGATCTAGTGGATGTTCCTCCCTTTGGAGGCGGGACCACGGCTCTGGTGATTGCTCCTCTAGGTATAGCTGGGGCTGAGGGTCCAGTGGTCGCTGTAGCGTCCGGGCATCTCTAACCGAGGAATGGCGGTGGATGCTGGCTGGGACACAGGTGCTCTTTCCCATAGGAACTTCTTGTGAGAGCTTCTGGAAGCCACTGCTGTTATCTCATCCAGTGGTTACGCCCTGCTCCTGGGCCTGAGCCTCGGGCCTCCTCTGATGCTGCTCCTGGGCCGGTGTTTCAGGCCTCCCTCTCCCCCAGTTGAGTTTTAATTGTAGAATTTTATTGTATGAATATTTCATGTTTTATTCATCATTAGATGCTTCTGCTGTTGGCATTTTTTTTCAAGGAAATGAACTTCCTGAAACATATCTTCTTATGCTCACTTGTAGAAGTTTCAGTATTTTTAAGATTTTTAAAAATATCTGTGTGTGTGTGTGTGTGTATGCCAGACTTGCAGATGTTAGAAGGCATTGGATCCCTGGGGCTGGAGTTATATGCACTTGTGAGCCACCCTATGTGGGTTCTAGGAACCAAATGTGTATCCTCTGCAAGAGCAGTACATGCTTCTAACCACTGTGCCGTCTTCCAGCCTCATTTCTGTATTTTTTCTACAAATGGCATTGTCATAAAAATGCATATATTAGTTGGGCGTTGGTGGCGCACGCCTTTCTTTAATCCCAGCACTCGGGAGGCAGAAGCAGGCAGATCTCAGTGAGTTGGAGGCCAGCCTGGTCTCCAGAGCGAGTTCCAGGACAGCCAGGGCTTCACAGAGAAACCCTGGCTTGAAAAAACATTAAAAGAGGGAAAAAGAGAGAGAGAGAGAGAGAGAGAGAGAGAGAGAGAGAGAGAGGGAGGGAGAGGCATATTTTAAATTTCATCACCTGAGATCATCCTCAGAAGTGGCCCGTCCTAATTGCTACGGTGCCTTAGCTGAGTTTCAGGGTGTTCCCTTTTACACCGACATGATCAGCCATTAATTTACCGTCTGAGAGTTTCTAAGTAGTCCATGTGAACATTTAATTTCAGTGTAATTCAGAATTCATGCAAATAAAGTTCCAGAGGAGGCTTGATGTAGCAGAGCTGATTTCGAAGGGTTTACTATAGGTGTTTGGGGACCCTAGTGACTTTCCTCGTTTTCCCTCAAACCACGACC